AAAAGGCAGAGCACGTCAGAATACGTTATTATGAGACATTTCCCAAATACGGGAATCCTGCCGCCTCCTTCTCAAAAGAGGCCCCGAGATGCCGAGATCCAATTGGAAGCTTTTACAGCTAAACAGGGAACACAATGCAAATTTCCTGTCGGGCTGTGTTTGTGGGCGCCACAATGATCAAAGTGACTCTTTTTCTCCAGTGCCATAAGATGTTTTCAAGCCTCCGTGTGCAGGCAAACGTGCACCCAGTCCTCCTGTTCCCTGACCTCAAACCAGCCACATGGAAGAGGGACTCTTCTCTGATTAACAAAGCCCAGCTTCAAATAGGCTGTCCACATGCATTTAAAACACTTAAACTAATCTAATATGGGTGGATGGGCTATGAAAAGAAGCATCATTTAGATTATTCTTTAGCTAAAGGAGGTTAAACCTGTCTTTTATGCAAAAATATCTCAAATCCAAACACACAAACGTGTCATGATGCAGACAAAATGCTCTTGTTCATTTGTACATTCGGATCTATATTTTTAGAGATTGCTCATTTGTACATTCGGATCTATATTTTTAAAGATTGTATTTTTTAATTTTATCATTTCTGTCCTATATTTTTATTTCTACATTCTATTTCTTGCTTCTCGTAGAAGTGTTGTGTTGTGTACCAAACACCAAGGCAAATTCCTTGTAAGTCCAAAAACCTACTTGGCAATAAACCTTATTCTGATTCTGATTCAGATTCTGATAAATGATAACAGCTTTGCTCTGTGTGCGTGTGGGTCCCTGATATCCTCCTGAGACCCAAAGAAAAAAAAGTGTCTTCAAATGTCTTTTTAGTTGTGATTTTCCATGTATCTGGACCTAAAAAAGAACATTACAATTTAATTTTTTTCTTAAATATTTTTCATTTTAATTTCATAGCATGTCCACTGTGGAGGACAACAGGACGATTTGCATGGGAAAATAGAACAGGCTTTAGATAATTAAATTATAAAAAAACAAGATGTCTTGAAAGGGATATTTACCTAAGAACTCTTAGGAAAAAAGAAAAAGTTCCCAGCATGCAAACCTATCACATGGCACATCCCAGGATGTCCTCTACAGAACACTATAGGGCTTGATAGGGTAACTCCAGATACTTAGGGGGGGGGGGTACAGGTGGACAAAATGTCCACTATAATGGACATAAATGAATGAGCCGGGTCTCAGGAGGATATGAAGTCACAGAGGGGGTCCGGAGTGAGTCCTGGGGAGTGGGGAAAAAACGCGTAATTTGGGTTGTGGATGTACCGGCTGCGTCTCACCGTTCAGCTGCCGGTACACCACATCCTCCAGCGAGCTCAGCCTCTTCAGCAGGATCTCGTGGCTGACTCCGGGCCCCGGCGCGGTGCCGTTGGCCCGGGGCCGCCGCCCCCCCCCCCCCGGCCGGAGCCTCCGGGGGGCCGCGCGTGTTGCACCTGGCCCAGAAGGTCATGAATCCGGCCACGGCCAGCACGTTGAGCAGCAGTAGAACCCTCCATCTTCTGAACACAAAAGCCATTAAAAAAAAAAAAAAAGGAGTCGGGGCGCCGCGGGTTTTTTGGGGGGGGTGCAGGTGGGGGAGAGGGAGGGGGGGGGATGCCGTAGTGGGGGTCCCTCGGCTTTAGAGGCGCGGAGGGCTGCGGGGATCATTCACAGACCAGGCAAAGTCTGCACAGAGACGGTAAAAAAACCACCGCACAGACGTTACCGCAAACCGGGGCTCCGACCGACCAACCGACCGACCGGGATCCGCTCACCTACACCCGACACGCGGGTTATTCCGGGCTGCGTCCCCCTTCGGAAGGGATCCGGGGCGCCTCTCCATCGGCTGTCATCTCCTGCCCAAGCCCCTTAAAAAAAACCCGCACGTGTGAGACAAAGACAAGAAACAGATCCTTCCTAAATAATTCAACAGCGAGCAGAATATCAAGCGCGTCCTTTCTTTTTTTTTTTTCCTTCCCTCTGCGTCCGACAGGAGCCGGTTCTGGAGATGCGGGTTCTAGGACCACCGCGCGCCGGGATGCTGGGCTGCGACCGGGGACATCCTCCCGGAGCCCTGGGCCAACATTTCCGCCTCTTTCCAGCCGACGCTGCTCAATCACAGATGGGATGCGGCGCGCGGATGGAGAGGAGTCTAATGCAGCATCCTCTCCGGAAACACGTCCCCGTGTCTGGTTTTACCCCCCCCCCCCCCCCCCCCCACACACACACACACACACACTCCTGTCGTCTCAGCACAGCGCCTTCCCGACACCGTGGACGCCCTCCCGCATTCTGCTGGGTGCTATTTCTTTTCCTATGGCTGTGTGTAAAAACGCGCACAGACGCGATCCCGCCGCGTCTCACCTCCCAGCAGGTCAGGGCTGGACTGGATGTCGACTCACTGACTAATCTCAGAGTCTGTCCTATACCCGGAGTGGGGAGCCGCTGGATTTCATTGGTTTTAAAGCTACTTTCGACGGTTTTAATTGGATGAGAATAATATTATTAGGCCAGCTGCCTCAGTTCAGATGCCATGCATGCATCCCCACAGAGGGTCACCTTTAGGATGCCCAACCAGTGGCTTCTCTTTGATTTACACACATAAGAACCAGTCCCAGACTTAGATGCACATTCAGAATTAATCCAAATGTGTCTAATTGGTGGTATTGGACACACCACCGGCTCATAAAATGAAACTCTTTAAACTATCGTGTCCTTGTATTGAAACACAGAGGCCTGTGTAAACTCATGCCCAGCATAACTAACATGTTTGAGGGTCACATGCCTTTTAACATGTCTGAACTAACACTCCATGCCCCAAAAAGTGGTTCAATTAAAGAAAGATGCGCTTGTTTTCACGTCAGTCACCAAAGTGAAATGTCATCTTCACCAAAAAGATCAAATTCTATCAGTTGGGGAAACTGAGACACTGGACTCTAAATAGACTGAAACAGGTGGCAGATAGCTATAAGTATGGGCTGTCTTCCATTTTTTTATATTTAAGAGAGGTCTGAGATACGAGCTGAGAGCATGTGGTGGTCAGGTGGAGCTGGCTGGTATGAGAAGCCATGTGATTGGATCATCTGGCCTAGTGAGGTGCTGCACAGGGCAAAGAGAAGAGGTGCCAGTACCGAACCTTGTGGGACACCGGTTGTGGCCAAGCCAGGGTACTTTCACCAACTGCCCACGCTCGAGTGGACAGAAAGAGAGATTGACTGTAAAGTTATTTCACTAGTTCATATAATTATATTTAATTTAATTCACGACTACATCTTTAAGACTTTTAGTTGAATCTGCTTAGCCTTAGTTTAGATTCTAATTGGTTTGTGATAAAAACAAGGAAGCTTCTCTGAATAAAGCGTGTTCGGAAAACTTTACCTGTCTCCATCCTTTGGCTTCTCATTCTGAAGAGTGATCCAACCACCATTCAATCGAACCCTCCCATTCCACTGAGAGCTTAGTGGTTTTTCTGGGTTCTTTTAAGGCTTCTGGCAGAGCAGCCTCTTCTGGTTTGTATCATGGAGGTTGTTTTGTGTGAGGCCCCCTGCAACCTGCTTAGAGACTGTCCTCTCACTGGTCTGAGACAGAAACAGGAGGACAGAGGCCGGGCCATGGTTCTCCACCTGAACCAGGGGCCGGTTCTCTACCTGCTGTTTTATTTCTAGAGCTGAGAGGAATGATGCGGGTTGGCGGATGGAGGACACGGACTATCCAGGCAAGACCTCAGAGGGGAGCGGAGAGACCAGGTGGCCTCTTTAGCCTAAAGGGAGAAATATATGTGGGAGTTTGGAAAGGCGAATGCAACAAGGGAGGAAAGGCGGGGGACAGTTTGCAGAGATTTCAGTAGAAGGAAACCATGGAGGTGAAAGCAGAGGGTGTTTTTGGGAGACTCGCGTTGAATTGAATGAAATAGTGGTCAGAAAAGTGCAGAACCGTGACAGAGAGGGCCTCTGTGGCACATTTTCTCCTTAAAATCAGATCTAGCACTGTGCTGCAGACCAGCTGTAGCTCAAATGAGAGCATTAATGACAGAAAATCGGAAAAATCAGAAAGAACGAGTCATTCAATTCCAATGATAAACAGGAATGGGAGATTCATCCTTGATGGGATTAAGGAAAAAGTCGCATTTCCTACTAGTGCTAAAACCACAGTCGCCAGACATCTCCCTAAAGGAACTAACAACCATGTATCCTTAGAGAACCAAAAGAGAAGAAATCTTCAGGACACTGGCACCGGGTGTCCACAGCAGATAGAGCCAACGGGACAGGTTAGCCTTGTTCAACAGCTTAGCTAATTGCACCACTTGGCTCAGACGGTGAGTGTTGTCAGAGACAGGAAGCTGCTTCCCAGTAGGGAGTGACCAGCCTCTCACAGCCTCTGATTACTCCGATTGTTTTGCGATGGCCCCACCGGGACTACACGTCAACAGGCCTCCATCGCTCACGCAACAGCCGACGGGAGCTTTGGATAGAAGCTCTGAGAAGGCTGGCAATGACAGGAGTGCAGTTCCCTCTCAAAACCGGCGAACGTGTGCAGAAATGGGTCACCCAGATAGCTGCTGAGGCTCTCAGCGTTTGGCAACTCGGCTCACAGAGAGCAGGCCGACACAGACCTAAAGCGGCCCGTGAGGACCGGGCCTTAAGAACTGTCCGGGAAGGGAAAGAAAAGGAGGAGTGAGATCCAAACCGGCAGCTGGATCTACGCGACAAACAGAGAAACACAGAGCGACGACATCGGAGATGTGGGCAGAAGACGTGGAACGAGAGTTTTTAGGGGAAAGGCGGGAGGAGAGCGCAGACACTGGGGATCCAAATTCAAAGATAGGAAGAATCGTAGAGTCGAGACAGACACGCTGAGAAGCGGGAGAGAACAAAAGATAGACGAGTAGGAGGGGGAGAGCAGAGTGGAGCCAGAGGTGGAGGAGGAGAGTTGACTTGATCTCTGCTGAAGGGGTGGATGCGATAGTCCCAACTCTACTCCGGTGGATTGAGCCGAGCACGAACTATGGAAGTTCTTCCTCAGGGTCCCATCGGCCGGATATAAAGCAGGTGTGCATATCAGCTGGCTGGATCTCCTAATTCCAACCATCAGAAAATAAAGGGCTACTAGTCCTGACTTAGCCTCATACGGAGTCTCAAACTCAGGCAGCTTTTACACAGTTCCCTGGTTCTCATTGGATCGGATCTCCTTCGAAGTGTAGACATTGTTCCTCTTTGCACAGACCTGCTAATGACATGTGAATCAGGTGTTTAGAACCGGGCAAACCTCTAAAACCGGTAAGACGGTGGCCAACATGGACCCAGTAAAGCACCGACTCCACAAACTCCCTTGAGACGTATCTGGCTGATCCCTCCAAATACTGTACGTCTGATTTTCTTTGTCTTTAAGGCAGCCATTAAAGGTGGACTTTAGTAGAAGGAGGTGCATCACATGGCCCCCGGCCGCTCCCTCTCAGCTGTGCTTCGGCTCCACATCCAGACACAGAATATCTTAATAATCGTATTATTATTTCTTGATAACTCTCACTTGTAATTTATTTTGTTGTAGTGTGGGATAGGCTCCAGTTTTCCCCTCGACCCCATTAGGGAATAAGTGGTAACGATAATGGACGGATGTAAATAACATCTATCTATCTATCTATCTATCTATCTATCTATCTATCTATCTATCTATCTATCTATCTATCTATCTATCTATCTATCTATGCCTCCTGTGCTTGTGATTTTTCCCTTTTTTCTGCTGTAATGTGTACATTTCCCCACTATGGGATCTATGAAGTATTCTATTGTATTCTTTTCCAGAAACGAGGGACACAAGATGGACAATCCAGACCGAGCGCTTATTTCTGGGACTTGTGCTTAAAGCTCAGCTTTAAGTAGATGGTGAACTGACAACTGCACCAGGATATAATAATAATTAGCAGAACAATGCAGCCCCCCCCTCTCTCACTAGCGGGCCCTCATCCCCTGTAGTTCATCCTGGATTCATAGAATACCTGGATTCAGGTATTTCCCTCTTTTTGGTTCGATCCAGACTCCAGACTCCAGACTCTGACTCTGACTCTGACTCGGTCCTGGGTGTGCTGCAGAAAAAGGAGGGCTCATTCCATTCTGCTGTGGGGCTGGGAAGTAGAGAGGGAGTTTGAGATCAAAGTGAGCCCGATAACTGAGAGCGGGTGAGGATAGGCTGCGAGTCGGGAAGAGGAGGAGGAGGGGGGGGCGCTTCAGAGCATCCTATAAATAGAACGGCAAGTTTCTCTAGTCATCAGCTCAGTCTGGCACGGGGGTGATAAAAAAGCAGTGGGGAAAACGAGCCCCGGGGCCCGTACCCCTGCTCCAGCTAACACCGTTCTCCAGCCGAGTTTGCGAGTTGCTAAGCGGGATTTGTGTGTGATGAAGCTAATCACTGCTCTGTGGGGGGAGGAGCCCCAAAAACGGGGCCCCCTTCCCCCGGGGGGGGGGGGGGCTTTTTCTCTCACCCAGCAGCTCCGGTGGGAGTCGGTTCACAGCTCAGCCGCAAAGACTAATTGACCTTCACACTGGATTGACTGGAGTGTGTGCTTTTTCTTTTTTTTGTCTCTCTCTCTCTCTCTTTGCTTCGGTTTGAAGCGTGGAGTCGGTCCTCCGTCTGTGGAAGCTCAGAGGCTTATTGTCCGACGGCTTATTGTCGGAGGAAGTGTCTCCAGAAGCTATTCCTCTGAGAAACCTCCGTCTTTTGATTAGGTTTTAACACCAGCGGCGCTTCAAAAAAAGCCTCTGAGGAGCCGCGCACTCTGTCAAATAATTAAAAACCTAAAACGGCTCGTTTGAATAAAAAACTAAAAAGAGAGAGGGGTAGGCAGAGTCTGATCAGCCACAACATTATGACCATCAATCGCACAGCCAAACAGCCAAACCACCAGACCTGGGCTCCACTTGCATCCTGCCACTGTAAAAGAGCAAAGAGTCCATGTTGGATCCATGTAGGATTCTGGGGGATGCAGCAGAACTGCCCCAGAGCATACCTTTGTCTTTTTGTTAGAGCGTTTGATTTGGTTTCTGACTGAAAAGGATCTTTTTCTTTTTTTTTTTAAATCACTACATTTCGGAGAAACAAAGCTTTACTAGACTTTCATGTCTTTTTTCCCCTGTAAAACAATCTTTTTCTCTGCAGAACAACTGATTTCAGATGGTTGTAACCGGCCCGCTAAGCCTCCAGATTGATGGTTTAGCAGCAGCTGCTTTTCTAAGAGCATTTCTGGTGTCTTTCCTCCTTGGCGTCGTACCAACACACCTAAATCCTGCAAAAGTGGAAGCAGTGCCATACAGTTTCTTCTTTTATGGATCATTTGGATGATGACATGGGCTGGTGTTCAAGTCTTCTTAGGATCCAATGGTGTCCAGATGTCTTTTCTCTATGTTGTCTGATATAAAATCAAGTCTTGGAATTGAGAGAGTGACTACAGGATGATGTGTGGCTCTTGGGTTTCACAGCTCTAATTTAAGATGGCCTACTTCTCATCAGGCCTCGGGGCTTTAGGGGAATCAGAGCCAGAAATGTATTTCTTTAATGTTCATTTGTAGCTTTGCTCTGATGACTTTCTAGAAAGGTAGAGGAGAGCCAAGAAAGTC